AGATGAATTGACAAGTTTTTTTGTGACAATAGATGAATTGACAAGTTTCATGTGAGAATAGATGAATTGACAAATTTCAAGTGAGCAAGCATAGATTGGCACGTCTCTATTGAACATACATGAATTGACAAGTTTTATCTGAGAATTAAAAGACAAGTTTCACGTAAGGAAAGATAAATTGACATGATTCTTGTGAGCATACATGAATAGACATTTTTATGTGAGTAAATCGGCGTTTTTCATATGATCATTGATGTTTCAAGTGAGCATGTCTAAATTAAAATGTGTTATGTGAGCTTACATAAAATGCCATCTTCCATGTATGAATTAGAACGTGTTACGTCAGTATAATGTTTCATATGAATATACATAAGTTAACATGTTTATGTAAATATACTTGTTTTTTGCGAGCATAAATTGACATGTTACATGTGAGCCAACATGAAATGACGTGGTTCATGTGACAATAGATAATTTAACGTGTTTCATGTGAGTTTACATAAATACATAAATGTGTCACGTTTCTGGAAAAAAATGTAAATATAAAAAAATACAAACCTCACAGATTTATCTTCATCGAAGCAACAATACTTGTCTGTTAAGGTACCACAGCAATTGTCTCCACCATCCAATAATCCGTCACAGTCAAAACCTTCATGCCACTCACCATCCAAATCAGTGTAGCCAAGGCAGTAATCGCCGGCTATATGAGAAACTGTAAAATGGTAGAAATGGTAGCTTGAGATGATAGACCATAACGTTATGAAGTCCGAAAATCAGACAAATGGTATCTTCCGCCAATGAGAAGTATTTGATATGTGCTCGTATTCACACACTAAGCTATGGCCAACTAAATATCGCCAACACATTGGACCATTGGACTATTGAAGTTGCGTATTCCATACGTTAATGGACTATCCACGACAATGCCGATTCATTAAACATACCGTTACTTGCGCATTCGAAGGACTGCTAGTACGTACGGACGGACACTGGTGCATCGGCTTCACCTGGGGGGGGGGGGTGTTGCAGGTTGTGAACTTGTTATAGGACTGTGAACCACTAGTGACCATTCTTAAGTTATGAACAGTTTTCATTTCACGAGTGACGAATTTGCGTGAAATTGTTGTGAATGACAATAATGAAATGTCACTAATGGACAGGGACAGGGATTTTTGTAACAGTGAACATTTCACTAGGATTCATAATATTAGGAGACAAAACCTTGCTGTGTAGCAGCGTAAATTGCACTAAGGTCGGGGAGTCGGTGACTTTGTGTAGCAGTAAATATATAGAAGGTAGACTTTGGACAGGGAGCAACTGACCTCGGATACAATTATTATTTATTATCAAGGTGATTTATATTGTTTGGCGATGACCTTCCCAGACACAACCATGTGAGTAAGTTGGACTGGTATTGATGCCAACATGAATTACCCTGTACTCATTATACGCTTCCAATCATGCTAAGAAGTGAAACAATTATGAATGTGTTTATGCTGATGACACATGACGAGAATATTTTATTTAAAGCTTTCTAACTATGAAAATGTATTTTTTGGTCATAGGTCTTCAATTATGCTATTCATTCCTACTTTGGGATATATTTAACCGCCAGATTTTGTAGTCATAATCCATGCCTGTGCGCAAAAATTAAGACCATCAACGGGGTCAACGTTTTAAAGTTCCCAATGATACAAACATAGAACCTAAATATAGCATGGCAGCTATTGGCGGCTTTCAAGTAAAGGGCCAGAATACCATTGAATTTAAAAAAAGATTGTTCAAGTGAGGAACTAGCTGATGCTGGAATGTTTCTCGAAAATTAAAAGTGAGTAAAGTCACATGACTGCTAAGTGTTATATTTATCTTAATCCACGTACTCCTTAGATGCTACCGAAAAAATGGCGGCGAACCACGTGACTAATCAACAATCTAAAAGAGGCACTGTGTAGTGTGGGACATATAGAATGTATATCTTAATTGTCATTTGTTTGAAAATATGGCGGAAGAATAATAAACATTACAATAGTAATAGACTTCCAAGCCGGAAGGATATTGAAAGCCTAATTACCTGTATTAACAGTCAGAGCCTGATTCGTAGAAAACTTGACAGGGCACATGCGTCATCGTTGCACCAAAATACATAAACGAATCTAAATTCGATTCAGCCTTTAAAGTCGCATTTCAGAAATTAGATATGATGACAAACTTATTAACAGTTCGTGGCGAAGGAGTCATGAGGATTATAAATAGGCATTCAACAAGGAAGTCCAGTTTCAAACTGATTTGGTTTCATGTGTCATAGCCTCGGTTCAGCTCTTTAGCGTGTCGTCGTGAAATGCTCTCCCACAAAATCCTAAAAATTAAAAAGCTGATGTAAAATGCATAAAAGTGTTATATTCTGAATAATAACATTACCTGTAACAAACACAACTGCTATGAACAATGCGACTGAGCGGGGAGCTACCATTTTGTGTTATGCGTGTAGTCGTGGTGAAGGTAACAATGACTTAAACAATAATATTCCAAAGCGTTTAGAGTACAAAGGTTGATTTTATTTTTGATTCCCTACTTAAACTCAACGATAGGAGCAGACGAAAGTCCACAATGCTACAGTTGTCGACAATACATCAAATAAATAAACGTTACATGAAACAATACAAAATACACCAAATAAATTAACATCAGACAAGGATAAAATGATGATTACATGATAATTTGCAGCTTCTGCAGTCTTTGTGAGATTCAGTGATAATAAATCATGAAGTAATTGCTGAAATGTCTATAAAATGGATGTAAAAATTATTCTTTTTGATTAAAAAAAAATCAACCGTTTGAGGATTCAGCTATGTAATTTTCATTGTATCATCATTAGAACACTGGTGATACAAAACTTTTTCTTTCTAAGAAATACTGTTTACATTGATCGGATACTATTTATCGGTCGTATTACATATAGACCACTTGCGTCAAGAATTGAGAGGTTGGTGAAATTAGTCAAATAGTTTGCTAATTGTAGCTGTGGTCATGAAGCTCCAATTTCGAGAAGTGACATATTTGGTTTATAATTCACACAATTGCATTGAAACTAATAACATTTAAACATTATTCACATGCAAATCATTGAATCACAGAAGAAATACTTAAAGATAGGATAATATTGTTATTAACTTGACTTTTTCTCAGAGTGAATATAAACAGCTCATGTATTTTCTAAGTTGACCTCCCAGTTTGCACAATGGTTATTCCGAAATTTACAAATGTTACATTTACATTAATGGCTCCTCTATTAATTGTATGGCACTTTGGAATCAGTGTTGTGACATGTGGCGAATGACCCCTGGGGCAATAAGTATGCTAAAACATTCCTGTAAAACTAGTAATAACTAATTCTATTTCACTTTACGATGACATTTGCTTGTAGAGCGACCTCTAGCGATGACATTAGGAGGCTTCCTGACGAGTGACTCAACGACTGATTAGGTAAGTTATTGAAATAATGTATACGGAACAGCGCATTCGAACAGCACGGGGGACGATTGATTCATTTTATAATCAGTAAATCTGTAGTTTCGAACACTAACTGAACTCAGCTGTAAGTATTTCGACAGTAGACATCAGCTGCATTGAAAAGTATTTCTGCCACTTTTCCATTGCTAGTATTAAGATACAGCTGTTATGTTTTGTATTATTCATGTTTTAGATATGTTATGTGTACTTCACACTGGAGTACTCCCGGGTTACTGCTATTGTTTTGAGAATTGTCAACCATGCTAGGCCAATTTTAATTGGTGACAAGCTCTAGTTTTGAGCAAAAAGGAGCTCCTTCACTCAAAACCCAGGTGAGTACCCCCACCGCATTGTGATTTGTTGATGGAATATTATTTACAAATTTCAGCACTTTACATGACCTGGTGATTTTTTTAAGATTTTAAATAAAGAATTTGCATTGTTAGCATGTCCATTGTTTACTCCCGCTCGTTCTAGTGTTTCATTTTCTTTTGTTATATTAAACTTTGAGTACGAGTTACTATCTATGTTGTCCTATCGTATACATTGTTCTGGTTCTGGGAGCAATCGAGAAAACGTGGATGAAAAAACACACAGTCGTAATAGCATTAGATACCTCATAAAGTTTGTTTTTAAATCGCTTGTTTGTAAGTAACTGTTATGCTAAGCCCTCCAGTGACAAACACAGTGGAGAATATAAATACCCCAAACCAAACGTGCTCATCTCCAATGCATCACATCTAAAGTACGTCTTTGTAATATTTTGTTTGGGACACTTCACTGGTTGTTGAATCTAGTTGATTTATTATATTATATTAGAAAGAAGTTATCCAATTTACAAATAACTTTTCTTGTCTTTAGAAATACAGAAATATTGCCGCTAGCACTTAAATAATTATTTCATACCAAAACATGTTCTCTATAAGCTTGTTTGACACTGCAATAATCGTGTCACTTTCTGAGGGGTACTCGCCTGGATTCTGAGTGCAGCCTGTTGAAAACTGGACCCCAACAATTGGCGTTGAGGGCGCTTTGAACAAACAATGATCTACGCAACCGAGTATTGTTGTTGAATTCTACCAGTGGTGATTCGTTCTGATTCCCATCTACAACCAACTCCCAATTTGAGTAGATAAACGAGGCACGTAGAGGACTGAAATGAGAGTATTTCAGCACTCGCCGACTCGGAAATGTTCACGCCTTGCTTTCTCCGCATACGGGCTGCTATGGTGTGGTCATGCATAACCTATTATACGTGTGATGTCATGAATATAGTTTCCTGTCTTGAGAAAAACAAACAATGCTATTACTAGTAGTATACGATTTTTCTTTCAGCAATTCATGACACGGGATTTTGATTTACGTCGAATACATGCCCGCTTATTTATAGTAAAATAGAACTAATCATTCTGAAACGCTGATATCACGTCCTATGTGTACGGTTGAGATTCAGTGAGTGTGTGTGTGTGTAACAAAGTTTACAAAAAAACAGTCGTTACCCGTGGGTAAAACGTAGGAATAACGAAAATATTGCCATTACACCGGCGATTTCTTTTGGCATGTTTGACTATCATAGAGACGGACACCTGTACTGGGTACTGGGTTTATATTTATCTATGTCCTCATCGCTATAAATATGTGTCAACAATTCAACAACTAGCTTCAATTTTTTCTGTTCCGGTTTTGTATCGCGATGAATATACGTAGTGCCATACGGTCCGTTGCAGAAACTTTAATATATAGTTAGTAGACGCCCAACGATGAATTCAACTTGACTTTTTGATGTGTCGCTTTCTAACCATGTTTAGAAAGGACATTTCACGAAACTATGCATCGCCTCAAATTTAGTATCTTCACTATTGCTACGCATCAGTGGTAGCTTTTAAGTCGTTAGTCAGTAATCTGTGATGTCATCATTCCATTTACTTGGACCGGGGAGTGAAATAGAAACGTCGTGCAGTTTGCTTATTGTTTACCGTGGTTATCTTCATGCCAGCACCCTAAGCATGCGTGCATATTTTACTGGTCATCGCCGTGGAATCGTAGTTCAACGATACAAGGATGGCAAACAGGTTACGTATTACCGTGGAGGTATAAACAGTTTATACCTTCATGGTAGAACGTATCACCATGGAAGAGACAGCTCTCAATCTCACAACACTGAGAACAACAGTGAGAACCACTGTACCACGAGGACGTCACGTTGAGCCTTTAATTAAAATCATACAGATTCTTCATCAAACCATATGTTGTTGCCATCAAATGCACTGGTTGGGTAAATTGTCAACATTTTAAAGAAACCCTATTTCAGTTTGTAATTAACTACAAAAAACAACAACATCATATTGATCCATATTTTGGTGTAATTGAATTAACTCATCAAACGAAACCAACCGACATACAAGCACTATCATTTATGTTGCCACACTCCAGGTAACGCAGTACATGTTCTAAAGTACAACGATATGTTATCCAACCCAATCCAACGTAAATATGAAATAACCATACTCGTCGCATTTAATTGTCTTTTCTCTATTAAAAGTGCTTGTTCAATGCCCACAAAAAAAAGAAAAAAAAAGAAAGAAAGAAAAATAACATTAATTCTTGAACACATGCCGTGAGAAAGTTAATCGACAATGCAACCAATGCCATATAAGTTGCGCCCTCAGCTGGGCGCGTACGATTCTTGCAACCGCTAGTTGTTGCACAAACATCGGATTTGTTTTCTTTTTTTTGTTTATGTTTACATACTATAAAAGCTATGTTCAATAAAACGTCAACACATGTAACCTTTACAACGATTTATTTGCATAGTGACCAACTCATATTTGTCTATTCCCCACTAAATTGTCGGACCATAAACTTTAGAAAGGTATAGTGTCTATGATCAGACATAGTTTAGAACTGATCGCTTACATTTGCTACGTTTACACGACAGCATTTTATTGGAACCCTACGGCTCGAGCGACGTTTGGCTCCAATAAATCCTCAGGGTTGAACTCAGATAGTGTTGAGCCCCGACATGGCTCCGACCGTGTATACACATCAGGGTCAAACTATTGGGCCGGAATCACGCCCTCAGTCGTCTTCTTCAAGTAATCTTTCATTTCAATTATGGCGGAGACAACATCGTTTGTAATTTCGCGTATCCTTTGGTTTGACGAAGAGATAAGCGCCCTAATACCTATTTGACAGATTAAAGAACTACTGCGATACACTGAAAGCTCAAAGGGGAACAGAAAAATGGCGTGCAAAATTATGCCACAAAAACATGAAAGAACGGCTGAAAAAATCCAAAGGAAATGATTGCAGAAACCTTTTAAAGAAACACCGGCAACGGTACGGCGACATGTTCTTACTAGGATTGGGCTGACAACAGTTGAACAATTACAAGATGGTAATTTTGCTTGACAATAACTGTAATAGGCTGTTACACAATTAGCGTATTTCAGCGTACACCAGTGATTGTCTCAGACTAATTGTTCCTTTTTCACCCAGCCCAACAGCATCGTGCCATGTAAACAAACAATAACACAAGCACCACACCAAAATCATTTTCATTCGTCCTATTTTCATACAAAGTATTTGGCGGCGCTGTTCCGATCGGCTTCGGTCGAACTGAATTGAACTTTGGCAGATCTCGGCTCTCGTTCGGCCCACGACCATTAATCTTAATCCATGAGAGGAGCAGTAGTTCAAGTTCGGCTCCGATAGAATGCTGCCGTGTGAACTAGCAAATTATTGGCACCTTACTTACATCTAGAGTTTGACCAAACAGCTCGGGTACCATTTTTGATTGTGCATAGACCCATGATTGACAGTTTTTCTGGAAAAACATGGACGACTGCTTGATATATGCTTTCTTGTCGTTTTTAGGCGACAATTACGCCGAAATCTCACGCAAATTGTGAACTAACGTCACATTTACATCCCTTATATATTCATGGTTGTGTGTAAAATAAAAATTACCATACTCCGCTCATTTTGATTCTGTAAAAAGAGTGATTTTGCGGGGCACCACGAATGTGCCACGCACTCTTGAGCTCCGGCCATTTGTATACTCAAATCCGGCAGTCTTATTTCTTTTATATACTAGGAGCCGCGGTTTAATCTAAATGTAGCGGCGTAGCGGGTAAAATGCGTCTCAGTTGAAGACGAATGTCGCGTTTATTTGATGCCGGCTAACCACAAACACGGTAGTGAATAAAACGACTGACAAAATAATAAACCGCCACCTTCTCAGTCTGTTTTTGTTTTCATTTACCTGTCTTTTATCCATATATTAGAATTAGCTGGTGCAAAGATTCCTGTCACGAAAGGTTCATACTAGCGAAAAACAACGGTCACCAGTTTATAGCAATGACCTCTGACAGCAATATCCCCACATATATTAATTGGTTTGGCCCTGAAGGGGTCTTTATTCTACTTCCTCGCCGTCTAAAGACTGAATTAGACGTTAGGGTGTACTACGACAGTAGGAGGCTCATTGTTTACTGGTGATAACGTTTGCTTTTGTTGCATCGTTGAAACGAAGTAAGTTTAGTTGCCGTCGCTCGTTTGAGTGGTGAGTATGTCGCGAGTAATTGAAGTCTCGGAGTTTTCTCTCAACGACGAGACCCCCAGCATTAAAGAGCAGTCTACTAACTCGACGCAAGAAAGCGAGTTCTTACAACTAGTGGAAGATGGGGACTTTGAAGGGGTTTGTTCGCTTATACAGGTTGGTACTTCTTTACGGGCTTGTTTAACTTTAGTGTACAACTTGAAAGTCAGTCATGCATTGGTAATCATATAGCGGTTATAGGATTGTCTTTGTTACTTAAGTATCATAATTCGTGAACACTTTTAAATTATTATGTACATTGAAAAACTCGCCATAGTGTGTCGTCAGTAATACTAAATTCTGTATGTTGTAGTGATTTCTCTCGACATAAGTCTAAACCGGTAGGTCAGTGTAAAGACGGGGGTTTACGCAAAGACACTAGTGTCTTTGCTTTACGTCACCAAGGTCAGTTTATCTCTTTATACTTCCATGGTTTTATGGGGGACTGTGGGCTTCAGTTCACCTATGGCGTCTACTGTATTACGTACGAATCTATTAATACATTGCCTCAAACACATTCTATCCATCCCAACTGTGCCCTGAGCTATTGTGTAAACATTGTAGTCAAAAATAAATATGATGTGTTGTTACATGTATTTTCACGTGTAACTCTTGTAACCATGGCGACAAGGTGGCGATTAAATAACTTGGGTATTGACAACAATAGTTTGCAATCACTTCTCATAAGGCGATCTTTGTCGTGCGTTGAATAGATCAAGCAGGAGCGTATTCATTGCACATACAGGTGTATTGGAAGGGAACGAGTAATTGTATGAATGTATCAACGTAGACTCCAGTGGAACTTCACTCGCTAACAACCTGACATTTCAATTGCTAGAAAACACGTCATATTCACGCAGCGTGGTCCGTGGCATCGACTGTGGCATTGATCACGTGTATAGTTTGTAACATATGATATACGGCTAGATTTCTTACATGCATCCAATTCTTTCAAAGTGGGTGTCAGATTCTTTTATTGGAATTGTTTTTATTTTTCCTCTTTGAATTTGAAACATGCAACGATTTTATGAAACAATGCATACCATTCACAGGCATTGTATATTCAGTGAACACGCGAATGAACGTGTCTACACAATCAGTAACCTAATGCGTATGTGGCGAGTAGAACAGGTACAAACGAGAACAGAAGCTTCGCAACTGCAAACGAGAACTGGATTTCTGAAATGTTTGTTATAAACTTTGAAGTGAAGAAATGGTGTCACCAAGCTCAGAGCAGCATTACACTAGTTAGGTAGAATGATTGTAGTAATTATTGCCGTCCACCACTCGCTGTCAACATCACGATTAACAAATAAAAGAAGGAACAACTCGATCCCAGGAGGATATTGAATTGTATACACGTTTCTTTTCACCAATTTACAATACCACTGTAGGCAAACGACACGACTAGTTTATTGGCATGGACATCTGAATAACAGTTGTATACAACTATTATGTTTGTATTTGATGGAAGAATGCTTTGAATGAACGTAGCCATATATATTCAAGGTATGCACAGAGTGTTCAAATTTCTACTCGCTTAGTTGTACGATTCGGGCTCAGTACGGTTGTGTATGTACCACCCAGCCACCAGCACTGCAACGTCTCCTATTACAGAGGGGTCTTACGCTCGTAAATATTAATGCCAACTCGTGAAAGTATATTTCTATCGTCACGCATCGCGCTAACGGGCCTGTAAACAAGCATTGTATATTACACTCTTTGTATACGTCGCAGAAGCCCTTTATCGAACGCGACAATTATAATTAGCGCCATCTAGCGGCAGTGAACCTACCGTCGAACCAACCTGGTGTGAACCATTTTGTTATCAGCCCGAGGTCAAAATTAAAATATCACAAGTCCGTCGTTATATTATGTTTGTAATGTAAATATAATAATGACAACTTGTTGTTGTATATTTGTTTCCGGTTGTGGAATATTATAACAATAAGGACAAATTTGTTTTAGCTCATTTTGCGACTCCTATGCCATTATTACTATGTCATTATTTTCCATGCCATTATTTCCTATGTCACTATTTTCTATGCCATTATTACTATGTCATTATTTTCTATGCCATTATTTCCTATGTCACTATTTTCTATGCCATTATTACTATGTCAATATTTTCCATGCCATTATTATCTATGTCATCATTTTCCATGCCATTATAACCTATGTAATTATTTTCTATGCCATTATTACTATGTCATTATTTTCCATGCCATTATTACCTATGTCATTATTTTCCATGCCATTATTACCTATGTCATTATTTTCTATGCCATTATTACTATGTCATTATTTTCCATCCCATTATTACCTATGTCATTATTTTCCATCCCATTATTACTATTTCATTATTTCCCATGCCATTATTACTATGTCATTATTTTCCATGCCATTATTAACTATGTCATTATTTTCTATGCCATTATTACTATGTCATTATTTTCCATGCCATTATTACTATGTCATTATTATCTATGCCATTATTACCTATGTCATTATTTTCCATGCCATTATAATCTATGTCATTATTTTCCATTCCATTATTACTATGTCATTATTATCCATGTCATTATTACGCATGTCATTATTTTCTATGCCATTATTACCTATGTCATTATTTTCCATGCCATTATTACTATGTCATTATTTTCCATGCCATTATTACGCATGCCATTATTTTCCATCCCATTATTAACTTTGTCATTATTTTCCATCCCATTATTACTACGTAATTATTTTCCACCCCCTTATTACTATGTCCTTATTTTCCATGCCATTATTACGCATGTCATTATTTTCCAAGCCATTATTACCTATGTCATAATTTTCCATCCCATTATTACTATGTCTTTATTTTCCATCCCATTATTACCTATGTCATTATTTTCCATGCCATTATTACTATGTCATTATTTTCCATGCCATTATTACGCATGCCATTATTTTCCATGACATTATTACCTATATGTCATTATTTTCCATCCCATTATTACGCATGTCATTATTTTCCATCCCATTATTACTTTTGTCATTATTTTCCATCCCATTATTACTACGTAATTATTTTCCATCCCCTTATTACTATGTCATTATTTTCCATGCCATTATTACGCATGTCATTATTTTCCAAGCCATTATTACCTATGTCATAATTTTCCATGCCATTATTACTATGTCTTTATTTTCCATCCCATTATTACCTATGTCATTATTTTCCATGCCATTATTACTATGTCATTATTGTTCATGCCATTATTGTTAATTTAATTACTTTCCATGCCATTATTACTATGTCATTATTTTCCATGCCATTATTACTATGTCATTACTAGTATTTTCCATGCCATTATTGTTAGTTTAATTACTTTCCATGCCATTATTGTTAATTTAATTACTTTCCATGCCATTATTACCCGTTTCATTTTCACCGTGCACTAGTAACAGTTATTTGTCCTGGCTAATTTTTTGATCGTTTTTTTTTAAATATCTAACACTTTTTCTGTTCGTATCTTACAGAGTGAAAACGTGAACGTCAACTGCAGTGGTAGACGAAAACGAACAGTTGTATCCGCACTGCAGCTTGCGGCAGAAAACAACAATTTTCAACTCGTGAAGTTATTGTTAGACAATGGAGCAACACCACTCGATAAACCACATATACCGAATGGTAAGGCACAATTGTGTTTGCGTGGGAATGTGTTGTTTTTATTTACAAATCATTTATTGCGTATATATTGGTAAAAATGATAATTAAGGCTGTTTTAAACAGCCTGAGAATCAACTGAAAATGAAATATAAATCCTCATTTATGTGCACTAGTTTCAAAGATATTAAATGATCTTCCCAATTGGCGGCAGATATATACAAGAAGCACGTTTCAAGTTTCAATGTGCACACCATTATGGCACAAAATATCAAATTCATATACATGTATTTACGATGAATTTCAAGCGTGTCTCCCCAAAACTGTTGTCAAAGTAATGTGATGGTATTTGGAGTATTGTTATTTTCACAAAATAATTATTCATTGCTCATATCGCACTATATATTTACTTTACACAACCATGCAACGTCGGGTAATCTCAGTTGTCTGATCGATTCCAACATAACATTATTGTGTTTGGCAGGAGAGTCTGAATGTGTAGAAATCGATAACATGAGGTTTCATCGTTATAGCGCCCTCTCGAGTCCAGCTTACATGAGCCTTGCCCACGATGACCCGTTTGTATCTGCGATGGATCTATCAGATGAACTCTGTGCTATGACACATGCTAGAGAAATCGAGGACACTTCGCAGGTAACTACCGCATTGGTGATACATGTTTACTTACACGTGGTTACATGACAGCATGAACACGAGCACATACAATGCAAGTCACGTGTGTATGGTGTTACACATACTAGTAACTACTATACGAGTATATCATTATTATATTGTATATTTATTTTCTCGAGGCGCTGGAAAATAACTAATTCAAGTGTATTCGTTGTATTCCACCTTTCAGTCTTTGTACATGGAGCTACAACGCCAGGTACGGCAATATATTGCTGCCCTCGTTAACTGCTGTGATACATCGAAAGAAGTACTTATTATATTGAGCGGCAAGGGCGGTAGTTTAGAGCGAGGACCAGGAGGCCTTCACGGATTCCACCAGTTGAAAAGAGCAGTCAAAAGTCGCCAAAAAGAGGCATGTTCAACGCAATTCCATTCTTTTATAATTTCAAATTTTACGTCGAGGTTATGGTTCCCATTAGTATGTACAACAAACGTATGAAATATTGTGTTTGTCTATGTGTTTGTTTTTTGCAGTTTGTTGCTAATTGGAAGTGTCAAAAGGAGGTAAAGAAAGACTGGCTGCATGGACAACCAAAATGGCATACACGCAACGGGCTGTTTTGGACTCTGCTGTACGCCGTTTACTCTTTCATAGTCTATATGATACTGATGCCTTTGTTAGTCCTTGTCTACATAATAGCACCATGCGCCCCACTATCCCGGATATTAGACAACCCCAAAGGAAAATTCCTGTCCCACCTGTACTCCTACATGATGTTTCTGCTGATTGTGTTAATAGTGGACATAACAATGGCGCACGATCCTACCGTCGAGTTGACTGCGGCCGACAAAACATTGATAGTTTGGCTGCTGATTTTCGCTTGTGCTTTTTTAATGGCCGGACTCAGCCAGTTGTACAGGCTCGGCCCAAGAGACTATTTTAGCGACGTGAGAAACTGGATGGATCTATCCATATTTGTCCCGTTTCTAGTGGACAATACACTGCATATAACGGACAATTTCGTGCACGTCAACGTCATGGTCAGGATCTTCTTTGATTCGATCGCGGCAATTTCTCTAGTTCTAGCATGCCTTCGATTCATAAGATTTTTCTACCTGAGTACATTTCTCGGACCTTTATTGCTGTTGGTTGTAGCCATGAATGGTGACGTCATTCGCTTTCTGTGTATCTGTTTTTTCACGGTGGTGTCGTTTGCATTCGGATTTTACTACCTCTATGCTGAACTTGATGGTACTGGCGATTTTAATGCGTGAGTATAAACGCCTTTATTCTGGAATCCCTTTTAACTCTAATTTTGTTTAGTTTACTTGTATATTTACTGTGGCTTATGTGTCAAATATAATGTAATTAATAAATTGTCTGTGTTTAATTTTATCACAGGTTCTTCACGGCCATTTCCGCATTACTGAACACACTGTTCACATCGGACCCAACAAGTAGCTTGTACGTCAACGTTATTTACAATGTAACTGACTCAGATGGCGATAGCTATGACGTACACGATGCCTCCATTATGATTGCTGGCATTGGCGTGGTCATGTATTTATTCTTTGGAGTTTCGCTCATCATTATATTGGTCAATGTATGCATCGCCATGATGTCAGATACATATGCCAGATTAAGGGTACGTATCGAGTCTGACTTAAACAAAAATGGTATGTTTTGGAAATACTTAATTTGAATTGTGTATTTACGCACGATCTAATGAATTCAAACAATACGATAAACGATATAAATTACTGTTACGACTACGTGCTCCGGCAGTAAACATTTTTTATGTTTTAAATTCCGTTGCAAACGCGATGTCTGAAAAAGCCAACAAGAGAACATAAAAAAAATTTCTGGGTGCTATGCGATGAATATCCAAATTTGAAGAAACACGTATTTTTGCTTGATGAAAAACAAATTTCGAAAAAGTGTTGAAAAAGTGGCCAATACTCCTTTCAACTCTCAATATTTAGAAATGCATTAGCAAATCGGTATAGGGCGCCCCCTGTGGCATGCTTTTTTTTTTTTTTTTAAATGGAATGCTTGTGTCGGCAGTAGGCGAGTTTCCGTTCGCTACGAGATTTTGCACATTACATAAAGGCCCAGACAAAACAGATCGAATAAATTGATTTTGAACTCAAGTATCAATCTGATCTTTGCGTATAGCAACCCTGATCTAGGTTACACACTACAGCAAGTTACAGCAATGTACAATGTCAATAACAATTATGTTTATATAGATATCATGATGTAAACCATATGCCGCTGAAACGTGGATAGCGCAAGTAGATGAGTTAAATTATTAAATAAATAACCCAAACATAAACAACTTGCAAACAGATAAAAATTGTAAAAAATGACAATCGTGAATATGTCATCTCTGAATGTACATGTGGCACTGAATGTACACGTGGCACTGAATGTACATGTGGCACTGAATATACATGTGGCACTGAATATGGTATCGCCACAATCATATAATCTCCGTGTTGATTTGCGTTCATCCGATAAAAATACCGCGATTCGTTGGAAGCAGGAGTCAACTATCGCACACATAGAAATCTCGCCGCATCTATGAGTAGATCTCAAGTGAAACAGTATATTTGTTGTCGTAGACTCGCCGCAACTGGACGTGTCGAAATCAGTTGATATGGATCGGGGCGTGTCCCGAGTCGTGCAGTGCATAACGGCGTCTACACGCGTTATTTGCTGGATAAGTGATCCGTATCGAACTCGACATGGCGCGACGTGTAGTGAATTAGGTTAAAGCGGGCGGGTCGTCACCTGCGCACGCGCGGAAATTGAGTCCCAAGCGATCATGATAACAACACACGCTAAAAACGCAAATGCTTATGGGTAAACGCTTGTTTTGAAACAATGACACGCTATGGCCATCTGACGCATGAGCAGGTGAAGACTCCCCCGCTTTATTTACATTTTATGTAACAATATTCACATAATGTTATCTTAAAAATCTACTTTTATTATATTTTTGTTCACAAATTCAGGAAAACATCGACATCGAGTGGAAATATGTTCGTACTAAAATGTGGTTGGAGCATTTTGACGGTCCTGTGTTGCCTCCATTCTTCAATGTCATTCCATCAGTTACTTGGTTAATGTACATTGCCAGGAAGTTATGCTACAGACAAAACTCTACAGGCTGTCTTGCACCACGAACTGAGGTGAGTATTAAATATTGATTTCATTACGCCATAGCCACACCTCTATGTCTCCATAATAACCACGTGTAAAGTAATGTAAGGTAGTAACTCTACCTATAAAATATCGACACAAACCATGATGGCTTGGATCGTGCTATACAAAGAGGCGTTGTTTTGTGCTCATATAAAACAAATCGATGGTGATACAGTGAGTGATTGCTTTATTGTAGGACAATACATTGGGGAAGGATATCCTTTCATTAAGCTACACAAAGGTAAGAAACATGTACACTTACTATCACGCGTTAGTTGAAAATCCTTATGTGTGACAACGGATAGTTCATAATATGGTTTAGGGATAGACACTATTCCATTTGTTTCGTCTTTGTAACTACATGTACTAGTATCTGCCTACTTACCACACTTAACACCGGGAATCAACAAATGAATCGGACTTCCACAAGCATAAAAGTATGCGTTGTTTTAATAAGATACGCTCTTATTGGATGCCAACTCGATCATAACAGTCGCGGTTGAAAATATAAAGAATGCAAAAAGAGCATTACAAGCCCCATTATCAGCGAGAGTCAACAACAGGTACCATAGTGTATCTCTAAAATTGAAATACATGCCGTATGTACATACAACATGGCATCATAATTACCAAAATTAATATTAAACAAAATATTGAATCAATATTTCAATCAACTTTTTCCGTAGTTGACCAAGGAGTTGATTAATCGTTACATGATTGAAAAAGGCGTAGTTTCAGAAGAAGATCAAATGTTTGAAACCAATGGCAACGTGAACGCAATAGAGAAGAATAATCTTGGACTTGGCGGCCCAGGCGTCGTGATACATGTTGGACCCAACGACGAAGCTCATCAAAAACGTGATAGTGTCAACTAAATATCCAATTCTTTTTATAAAATTTACATTCTCTTATTTATCTCACAAATAATATATTTTACAAGCGTTGTTTGCATGGCATGGAATCTATTTCGCATAGGATGCGTTGCGAATATACAGTCGTCATATAGGTCCCATATGTATGCGATATATACAGCACGTTAAACTTGCTTACAAATGTTAATGTCCTTGGAATTTGTATTCGTTAAATAGAAAAAAAATTAAAAGTCCCTGAAAATAGCCAAAATTGTTTTTCATGAAATGAACGCGAAAACAAAAACAAATGACTTTCCCTAGCATGCGCCCTCAGCGGCACGCAATGGGTTTCTTTATGGTTTCGTACCCGTTTATCCACGAGCCCGCTCGGTAAATCTATTCACAAAAGAATGAACGGATGTCTCTCTATATATTGTTTGAAATCGTATCTGATTGGAAGACATAGCAAAGTTACGGTTGTGGTGGCCCAATCTGACTCGTTGTTACAAACATATATTTAAATATGTCAACTTGTTTATGAGCTGTTTGAAACAATCGCAGTTTTTTTTCCCCGGTGTTTTAACCTCCTCGTTAACCTCCTCGTTCGCGATTGCAATTTAAGGAAAAGTTATGTTCAGTCTGTCACAACTGTTTTATTATATTCGGTCTTCACCAACTAGTACAGTGTCGTTGGCTTTTTTAATTAATATTGCTATGAATGTACACAAGATGCACAAGTCGTGCATAATACCTGCATAATTTACGAATACTCTTAATTTATCTCATGGTAGAGTCTGAGTAGAAGTCCATGACTGTGCGTGAACAATATTTGCCCTGCAGGCGAATGATTTACAATTTATTTATTTATTATGCAGTTGTATGCTACCATAGCTTGAATACAGAACATTTCTAACAGATTGTATTTCATATTACATAATAGTTATGTATTATATTTACACGAAACCTTACTTGCTTAAAAGTTTATATTTCATTTTAATAGCTTTAAAGCAATTACACATAATTTACAAAAAATAAATAACCACGCCCAACCTTAAAATACCAATAACAATTACCTAGCCTGATTTGTTATTGTATTAACAACATGGAAAGATCCTGAAGTTACTAACCCGTGCCGATTTTATCAAAAGTAAACATATTGATCAGAAATCCACATACGCACACGCCCACTCCACATTTCCGTGTTAATCATTACAGCTAATCAATTGGATTATGAAGATTCAGTGTCTAAATCTACAGCTAATCGTTCACGGTGGCAATATGTCACAACGAAAGTTAATGTTCTTCCCAACCAATTAGTGAGTTTTTAGGTGGCTGTCAATGCCAGTCTTTGACGTACATTTCCTGCTTACAAGTGCACCGACTGATTACCCGGTGGTAGTCACACACAAGCGTCTGCAGTATAGTAACGATTGAATCAGACCTCACTTGTTAACTGAATTATGTGTTACAGAGATTCCCCATGATCACTGTCGCCAACACCATAATCACCAGCCGCGCCAGTGCCCAATGTATCGCCCTCCCGTCCACTAACCCCATATTCATTGTCCTCTGGCCCTGTTGTCGGTCTAGACTTCATCAGCGTCTCTTCATCCACGATGCCTTTCATGATCAGATAACGATTAAACAATACATTGAGAAGCTGCAAGACATTTAGAATACTGTTAGAAGCTGTAGACCGATAAACGTAATCAACAGGTTTGCATGAAACGTTGTGATCTTTCGATATTGCAGAAATATTTTTCGATTATTTATCACAGTATCATAATATTTGTGCAAAATAATAATGAAATTTAGCGAAATGCTAAAGCTATATTAAAGGTTATTCGGGTTGCGATTGTCGAGTTACAAAAACGTCGAATGACAAAAATAATCACGCCCATATATTTGGAGCCATACTTTTGCAAAATCAAGCCCAAATTATACTCGATGTTCAATTAAATGTTAACCGAACATCGAGTTTCGGACAACCCAGATAATTTTTGTTGTTTAAGCTTCACAAACGTTCAGCGACTGGAACCAAAAGTTGAAACAAACAAGCTCATTACGTGGTCAAAATTTGATTGCGTTATATATAAATATCAAAACAACAACAATTTCCTAACTCCCTAATTTGTATTACTTTCCGTGGACTTAAACAACAAATTACATGGTGCCCGTAACTCGGGAAATTGTTAACACAGCACTCAATTGGTCGACGCTGTGCGATAGTGGGAGTGGTTTCTATAAAACAATTTGTTTGCAACTTGATTTTTTCATCTCCGTAACTCGGACAATTCACCATCTGAGTACTATATTGCGTTGTGTTGCGTTACACTGCGTTTCGGCGGAGTGTAGTGTAGTGTGGCGCAGTGCAGAGCCGTATAGTGCGGTGCAGGGCGGTGTTGTGTAGTGTGGCGCAGTGCAGAGCAGTATAGTGCGGTGCAGGGCGGTATAGTGTAGTGTGGCGCAGTGCAGAGACGTATAGTGCGGTATAGTGCGATGCGGTGTAATGTAACGCAATGACCCAAAAACTAATGCAGCCAGAAAAGTGTACATTTTTACTCACCTCGTCATAGGACAAGTTCACATCACATGTCATATCGCTATCCCTTTTGTTGGCGGCAATGTTCACCTGGTAAAATATATCCAACAATCAATACATGACTGTGACAATACATGAAGCACAGTGATAGCTGCAAGAGTACATCATAGTAGGCACATGTTTTACGTTGTGCGCATGCACAGTGACTGGTTTGCAAGAACCAGTAGTTCACACCAGGAGATAAAATAAAGGCATTGTTCGTTGTGTTATATTAAATATACATTTATGTGTCTCTGTTATAAATAACGTGCAAAAAATATTGTCACAGCAGCACCATGTGACATCACTGTCCGACGGCCTCAATACTGCAATATCAGGTATCACTATTTCATACGTTGTAGGCCAGGTCGGAAAAAATCACATTTAAGTTAGTAAATAGCCTAAACCGTAATTTAAAAACGAATGTTGAAGCTAGAGTATACGTAGTTGGAACTAGATTGTGTTATATATAGAGTGTTCACAAACATTTATCAAGTACATATATTTCACTATTCGAATTTGGATAAAACAAAAACTTACAAGATGGAGTTCTTTCATGGACGCATCATTATGCTGAAAAAAATGATAGGGTTTTTTCATATTGCAATCAGTAGCGATTTTCAAACGCAGAGTTGAGTATTTGCCATGTATTGATTTAATACCGTGGTTGGCAAATAGTCATTTTTTGCAGCATGTCGAAGAGGATAGGGTGATACTTCATTGAAGAAATACTTAAAACTGATCATAAACTGTGCGCATCACCCGCATAATACGTGTTGTAAAACACAATACATCGCTGATCATGGGTTTAAAGGATATAGTACAATTAAATATTTCGTTTTCATTCAAGTACTTACAGATCGAATAAGATTCGCACAATTTTAAGACAATTCGATGCGAATTCATCAGAAGATTTAGTTTTTAAAATTTGAAAATGTTCAATTTCTCATTTGTGCAAACGTATACAATTTAATTTAACATATTCCTGAGAGAAATCAATATATTGGTGTAATATCAAGGAACATAGACTATCTTCGGTGTTATTATAGAATGTATTTGTGAATACAGTTCACAGGGTTGAAAGTGAAATACAATCCCAAAATCGATGTATCAAACAATCCATTCAAACAAATGTGTTGACTATGTGCATCAGTCTCGGTATTAAAACTCACCTCAAAATCCTCCTGTACTATCTTCCGTGAATTGAAACATCTACATTTTTCGGGACATAAGTACTTACAGCAAGCAAATGACGGTATGATGTTATATGGAGCTGGTAGAACAGAAGCGTTGACGTAATTCATCCACATGCTTGTTCTTCTGAACTTCCATTCACAATCGATATGTTCCTACAATTTAACATGTTTACTCGGTACAGTGTAGTTTTGAATGATGCGATATGTCTTAAGTGTCGTAGATGCGAGATCACCCAGCGTCTAAAACACTGAACAGAATTTGTTCTTTCCATGGAGATATAATGCGATTTTGAGTAAGTATATGTCACCAATTCAATTAGTATTAATTTTCCGGAGTTTCACACACAAATACTACAGATAACAAGTAAAAAAAAAAAACTAAAAAGGCACGAGTTGTATCGGAAAGTTTTTCTATTGCTTGCAAATCAATATACAAAATCAGACCACAGCAAGCCCCAGTTAAGAATAACAAATAAGGAATTGAGCTAAATTTTGTTGTTGTTACTCAGATGTAACGCTTTATCAAAAAGGGTCAATGCACACCAATTCTTACATAGTTAACGGAATGTAAATTGATAATGGGCAATATATCATACACAGCTCGTCGGCAAAATTCATATGTTAGTTCACAGTTGCACTGTTATACCTAACGATCAATCATATCAGAATTACACTTACTTTGAGTCTGGCATATGTGTCGGACATCATAGCAATACATATATTGACGAGAATCAGCATGACGAATGTACCAAAAAATGTGTATAGTATATACCCCACTGCTTGGTAAGTACCCGAGACATCGTGAATTTCTGATGACACGTTGTAAACGATGCCACTCACTTTCAGGTCACCGGATATGTCTCCGCCAAATATAGTGGAAATTAGGGCCGTAACTGAAGAATTAAGTCTATGAAATATAGAAAGAAAAAAACACATTAGAGATTATTTTATATATTTATTTTGAAATGAAAAGTTAACATTACAACATTACAGGTGACAATATTTTTATTACTTGACAAGAGGATGTCACAATATATTCTTGTTGAATGTGTGTAGGCCATATTAGGTTGAATATATTTTGCACCGGATTTTTACAAAGAAACAATACTAGCAATTATGAAATGACATTTATCGACTATTTCTACGGATAAATAATAAAAAAATGTATAATAACGTGGAACAAACAAATACTACCCATAGTACTCGATATTTATAATGAGAAAATAAATCCCCCCAAATATTTATATTTTGTTAAGTAATCTGATTGTGTTTTCTCAATTTACAAAGTGCCACATACATTTATGCTTGGGTTTCTCATCTACTTGGTTTTATTCATATTTACAACTAGTTGCATGCCTTATACAGATAATGAAAATAATAAGCCTCTCTTAATCCAGTTCAGTTAGCACATAATTTTGATCTTAGAGGTTAGTGTTATCTCCCGAATTTACATTTATAATGCAGGCAAATGTCCGAGAATAAGAATGATAATAAAACTAGACGGCACTCGTTGTCGATATCCAATCAGAGCCACGGCTTGCTTACGGTTTGTAAACATATTTGGGTGACGTGGCGCTAGCTAAAATTGCCCATCTATCAAATGAGGCAATAATTAATTAATTATACGTATTTAAACACTAATTTATTCACCGATTCAGCATCTTCCCCTTTCATTCATTTGTGTACCTATTAAGTTGGGCTTATGGTTATATTTATTGTTAGCTATGGCCGTCAACATATTTAGTGACTCTGTGACATTGATTTTGATATTAAAATCTAAATGATGCATGCCGATGATTGACCATTTTAAACATATTCAAAATATTGTGTCTCCTTAATATTATTTTCACTTCTAAGCCATAGTGATGTATTCAATACGATCATATGAGCTACTGTTTTCTGTAAACGAACCAAGTTTTAGTATTAGCCAGATAAGAAATAAAATACCCCACAAAGTCATTTTCTACTATATGTCCACGAAATGGCAGAAATACAACTTTCCTGTTATATACGTCATACGCTTATACTTAGATTAGTTTCCGGTACAATATATTGTATACTCACTTGTTGAAATTGTTCTTGGGAATCCCCTCAAAAAGGTAGTAAAATCCAAAAGAGAACGACATAACTGCAAATGCGAAGATGACAAGGAACTTGAGTACGTCGTCACCCATGGCGGCGAACAACAACATGAGTGACCCAAGATAAGAGGACAGGTAGAAATTATCCATGAATCGAATACAGGCGGTAGTGAGGGCCATGGCTGTCCACGTGACCCAGAAGGTTTGTAGCTGAATACTAATCGTTATGGCGTTGGAATTATCCAACAATCGTAGCATAATATCGAACAGAAATGACAACAGAATCCCCCAATCGAGGTAGTTCCAGTAATCACGACAATATGTTTTCATCCCTAAAATAATAATTTGAGTAATTTCACCCCATATCATGGCGATGACGTATATCAGAATGAAGATCAAGAATGCAAGGTAAGACGTCGTCAATGTAGTGTTTGGATCGTTGTCCAATAGTACATTGAGGATAAGAATTAGGATAAGAAACAGTAGATACGACATCATTTGTGACATAAACTTGCTCTTTGGCGTATCTACAATTCGTGATACAGGGGAGCATGGGAGAATAGTGTAAATAAGCAGCAGAATAGGAAGGAAGACTACATAGACCATGACCGTGTGCGCGTAGTATAGGATTGTCCATTTTAAACCGTTACGAAAATACCATTCTGGCTGACCACGGTACCATATTTTATGGACTATATTTTGACACTTGTAGTGTGATATGAACTGCAAAAAAAAAACAAAAAAAAAACGCACGAGTTATTAAAACTGAATCAAATATATATTTGAATATGTTTGGGTGACGTGACGCTAGCACCTAGCTAAAATTGTCCATCTATCATATAATTATGATGCAATTTTACGTATTTAAACACTAATTTATTCACCGATTTACCCTCTTCCCCCGTCCATTCATAGGTTTCCTCATTAAGTTAGGGCTTATGGTTATAGCCGTCAACTTGCTTAGTGACATCGCCTTTGATCTTGAAATCTAACAAGGTAACATAAGGCATTTCGACAATTGACCCATCAAACATGTTCCAAGTGTTGTGTCACCTAGCTAAAACAATGCCCATATAAATAATTAATACACATTAACAACAGCTTCCACGTCGCTAATAATTGGTCCGTCTTTAAAATACAATAATCTTCACCTGTTTGTTGTGGTTTTCAAGTGCACTCATCAATACTTTGCCTCTGACAGTGTAATCGTTGACAGCATGTTCCATTCCTCTTCCCAAAAGTAGAGTACGAGCCTCCTGCGTGGAGTCGCAACATGTCAGTATATCCAAGCTGTATGCGCGAACTTGTCGCCAAAGTTTAACGTACTTATCCTAAAAAATCAAAAATAAAATTTGACGTCGTGCTTACAAATGGTTCCATTATACATTTATACATTTTGTCGTTTCATTTTCATTTTATTAGCAATAATCAATTGAAATATTAATAATGCCACTTCAAAAAAAAAAACTTACACGAAAATTAATGGAGCCACTATTGTTAATGTATGTTATGTTGCAACACTATTGTATGCTAATGATCGATAGATAACGTATAAACTCGTTGGGTCAATCTGCCATGCTAAAAACTTTGTGTTTACGTATATGAATACGTAATATTTGTTTCCAGTGTGTAACACAATATAACAAAACAATCATACAGGCTTATTCAAAATTGGAACTGATTGGAACACGTGCACGCACTGATTCTAAGGGCTTGATTGTTATGATAGATTTATTATCAGGTACAATTGGGTGACTGTGGTTAATACCAGACGACCCTCCCAGTTTCTCCGCGCGTGTGATCGGATTGATTAATTACTTACCTTCGAGGTTTCTACAATGCCTTTTGAAATTGATACTTTGTACAATTCATGGTTTACTTCGTTAGCCGCCATAATAGGGTCGTCATTTACCAGACTTAGATATGCCGGGGAACAAATGGCATTGTACAAACCGTACCTCATGTCATCTTCTAATATATTCCCAGGTTCTGTGAATATAATCAACCATGTACGTAATACATATTATGTCTGATTTTCGGTATATAGGTGGGACGACAATTTAGGTAGCAAATTTCCTGTTTTAGTAGTTACTTGCCAACATAACAACAATAAACTAATTACTTATTTGTTATATATTTATACCACATTTATTACAAGTGCTCACGAATAATAAATGTTACTGACTCAGACACGGCAATGGCTTTGGAAGCGGTTTGGCGCCATAGTTCAGCAATAATTTAATCATGTGAAAATCGTTCTTCTCAGCAGCTAGCTGAAGTGCTCTTATTGGCTGATTTCTTCGTTTGCCAATACAGTTAGCGTTTACGTCACCACTCTATGAAGAGATAATATAGTAAATGTATAAGCCTGTAATTGGTGCAAATGGCGACCAGAGCAAAACTCGTACTTGTGATTTCATTAGGAAAGCGCATTGGATTATGGGAAAAATCAATGTTTATCAACACAAATGTCGCACATGCACGGCGCGATGACTACCGCCCTATAAATATAATCTACTGTTGTTCATTGTATGTAATATACCTCTAACAAGGCTTTTGCTTTGACAATATCGCCTGACTCCACTGCTCGCAATAATTCATGTTCTTTGACGCACAGTCCTGGGGCGTGTTGACGGCCGGCAACATAATCCCATTCTCGCGTCGACAATGGAAAAATACTACTAGGGTCTGTCATCCTGTGATTTGGGTAATATTGCCGTGTAGACACTGAAAAATAGGAATAGGTGAAATCGAGTGAATTGATTTCTTGCTGGAAACAAGACATTTATAAATAAGCATGTAACAATATGTTTATGTGAGAGTAGATATGTTTGAAGTTCCTTGTGATTAATTAATTTATTTATTATTTTTTTATTTATTTATTTATTTATTTATTTATTTATTTATTTATTTATTTATTTATTTATTTATTTATTTATTTATTTATTTATTTATTTATTTATTTATTTATTTATTTGTTTGTTTATTAATTTAATTAATTTATTATTATTTTTTTCAGAAAAAAGGTAGATATAAAAATATACAAAACGTAAAAGCACTTCAATACTTCAATCTACAGATATCATCCAAGGACACACGGCCCTTAGCCCAGCTTTCCCCGTGTTGGATGTACACGCGATCGGTACATATATACCGATCGGCGTATCGATGACTACGCTACCAATGATCATTTGATAGGGATTTGACAGGGATCGGGCTAAGGCAGCTGAAAATATGGTGTTATCACCTGAGGCCAATGTGTCTTTGTTAGTTGCAATGTGGAAGCATTTTGTTGTTTACGAGCGCCGCATTGTGTTCCCTTCAACTCGTATTCATCACAATCGTAGACTGACAAGAGAGTGAAAAAGAGTGGTGACCCTTGCCCAGACGTATACCCAATACAGGTAATACAACCCCCCCCCCCCCAGTTTAGCAATTACGTATACGATGATACGGAACGCGGCTATTATGTAATTTAATAACAAGATCTGTGATACTTGATTAAGTTACATCTTCTATATATTTTCTGGAACTAATAAAAAAATGCAGCCAGTATATTCAGTGCAGTATTAATCGAACGTTACGTGAAAGAGAGGGTATCTAAGTGTTGTCTCGCCTTCTTATACGTATGCCTCGAGTGTGTTGGAGTCGCCGTAGCTATGTTATGTTATACGCGTTTTCTAAGGTCTAGAAATAAACAACTAAACTTATCCTACCGTCTATCGTCAATGAACGTCTCCACTGCGAGAGTTATAAACTCTATCGCCACTGTGAGAGCCTGAGTTGGAATAATGGTGTTGGTGATTTGCATAATAATAGTGTAAAGAAAAGGTGAACGTATACAAAAGCCCAAGCGCCATCTTGGTTGCCAAGTGTCAATATTTATTATAAACTAAACATCGCATCATGTACTCGCCATGGTGTGACACGTAGCCCCCCCCCCATATCCCCGTCTTGCCAATCGTTCGACATTTTGTGAAACTGTGTGATGTAAATTAAACTTGTTTCGAATAAAAACGGTAGCTATACAGATCAAAGTCACGACCAAATGACGTAGAGTCTATAGACCTCACTCGCAAACGTGGAGTTACGCGTTATAATGACAGCAAAATGTAATGTAATATATACGCAATCACAATTAAAAGTACACACTTAGAAACGTAATACGTGTATATGAACCGTAACGAGAATAGGATACGCCGTTGTTTTTGTGTATTTAACTGAAAGTGTGCCGTGTGAACTTCACTTTCTGACTTTGGAGTCGACAATACTAAGTGTCTGTTTACTTATTAATGACACTCTCTTTCTATATACCATTATACGTACGGTCATGCACATATGTTGACTGGCTTTTTGTGCAATTTAAAAAATAAGATTGCTGAGCACGTATGGCAGGTACAGGTAACTGGTGTTTAAACATCCATTTATATCGTTGGCATTGCTACACACAGTTGACATACATGTAGAGGGCGACATATTGAAATTCGCTTTTATAATGAAATCCCGATTTTTTTACCAGTAGACGGAACACATTTGGCATTAAAATATCCATTGTTTTTTTACTTGTATATATTTACTTGGTTTCAGAAATATTTAATGCCTAGTCTATTACGTGATATCCGCATTCAGATGTTTACAGAAATACTTAATACAGTCACTCTGTGGCTAAGATCATCTTACCATTGAACTATATCTGGCCGGAACGTCCGGGCCGAAACATCCGGGGTCGAAATGCCCGCGGCCGAAACGTCTGGGCGCCACTCGCACTAATTACCGCCGGCGACTCATTCGATACCTTTCAATCACCAACAAAATAACTAATTAAAGTTTAGTAACCACTCAGTTTGTATTTCTTTGTCTGCGCAACTGTCAAAATCGCCACGTCGCGTCTTGTTCGATATAGTTTCAAAGCGACGTTGGATTCACAACCAGATTCACCCATATCTATCTAAATAAAAAAGAACGTGGTATATTTGATGTTTAACCATGACCTGAAAATTGAAAACAAATAACTAATCGAAAATACGTACTAGTATCTAGGCATTTAAAATGATGGTATGATATATATGTATTCCACGTTATTTATGTCAATCTGCGAACGGGCGTTGTCATCACTTTACTGGGGACCACCGCTATTGACGCTATTCTGTTGATTTGAAATGGCGACACGTTGTACATAGACTGTGCATACGATTAAATAAGCAATTAAAAGTTATTCGAGGATAATACCAAAGAGAACGAGTGGTCTTGCGAGAAGAAGTTTTTGTATTTTTCGTTTCGTTTTCGTTTAGCATTAGACGAAACTGGTCATGAGAAAATTGGCGGTAAAGTTCTGTGACAAGGGTTGGGATAACAGTGCACGTTTTTCTAGACGCGCACTTGTTGTCGATGTGGAATACATAAATGTAATATGGGAATAGTAGTCGAACATCATACGATTTCATTTGTTGAATTACTAACTGAAAGTCAACCTCAATTTAGTGTATGTTAAATATTCTTTGATTCTGGCGACGTACCAAGTATATTTAAATCTGCATGTTAAAATGTGCGAAAATGTTTGATACGCATAGCACTAGAATATTTTAGTAGTATCGATTGACTAAAATACCGTTTTAATATTATTATGAACAATAGGCTGAATAGCTTTTCACATAAAATGACACCGTATGTGGTGTCTGTACGGAAAATATGATTACTAATAATACAGTAATGTCACTTAAAAACAAAAAAGGGTATATTTTTATAAATTCCCTTTGTGTGATTAAAAATGTCAATATGGCTGGCTGGCGTTACCCTCTACAACTGGAGATAATTAGAAGTTTTTTAGGCATTCTGGGTAATAGCAAAAGTAATTGTGCAACATCATTAATTGTTGCGCTTGCAAATGAGACTGAATTACAGCAACAGGGAATGAGAATATATTTACACCATTCATCTACACCTAATTGCAACAAAATCCGGAATACTGAAAATATTAATTCAAAACAAGTAATTTAAAAAAAAATAGTCGAATAACAAAGAATAGATGGACAAACTTAATAAAGAAGACAACTCCCAAATAAAGAATAAATTGTAAACGTAAATAAATAGTTATACAAGTTTCAAAACTATTTCAACAGAAGTTATAAATAACAAATTACGAGGCACTATAACAAAAATAAGAATTTCCCAACATTTATTACCAATTGCCAAAGGTCGTTACATAACATCAAATGATCATCTTACCTGTCATTTTTGTAATACAAGTAAAATTGGTGATGAAACTTATTATATAATGAATTGTATAGAACCAGAAATAAAGAAATATATGGAAAAAAATATTAATTTTCTCAAAGTTTGAACAATTAAATAATAACTGTAAATTGATTTATTTGCTTAATGTTTCAAATAAAATTCTAAATGTTAGTTTTTTTTTAACTCAGTTATGTTATTCTTGAGACCATACTGCTGTACTGATCCTACTCAGTAATGTGTTGTTGAAATATTATATTCGTATTTAATTACCATCACCTGCATCGACGGACGTACAGTCTATACTATATTATTATAGACTATTATTAATAAGATAACGTTCCAGTTTTGTGAATGATTAAATGCCACGTCCAATATTGACAGTTCACTTAAAAAACTGCCGTACGTGGGTTCAAACTTAACATTTCAAAAATCTAGCGTTGAGACACACACGCTGTACATGAGAGGTTGATTGTGTGATTTTATTTACAAGTCAGAATTTCTATGATTTATTCATACTATATTTAATAATGATCATCAGTTATGATTATAATTACACACATTTAAATCTTTCACAATCGAATTCTTTATAAATAATGGTGCTAATTACCTTGACATATAATAATTTATTAATAAATAACCATAATGCATAAATAAATTGTAACTGTTAACACTATATTCATATAACTATTAAACTATTACATGTATAAATATTTGTATTTTGTAATATTTATATATATATTACACAATTGATGATATGAACCTATTTTATTTGTATATAATTGAAGAAGACTTATTATATATAAGTTTATTCCATTTACAATGACAGTATTATACGCATATTTTGTTAATAAAGCGGTTTCCTGATGTTAACCTGTAGCAAATGTCACCCGAAAAACATTATTTGCTCTACGTCTCGCGTGAAAAACAGAGGGCATCTTATTTATATATAATCGAAAAAGTGACATACCCGGCCCTTAACGCAGTATATGTGTATTTTATATTATTCGTGAAGCAGCACTCAACCTAAAAAAATGCCTCAGTATTACTATCATGATTTATATTTCAGTCAGTTTGACAGTGGTTGTCATGACATATACTGATAAAGGTTAATGACAAGACCAGATGGCGAGCTGGTCGAAATCAACCAAAAACATCTTATGACTCTGCAGTTTTTAAGATACAAGACAGTAGCTGTAATTCTAAACCAATGTTGTTTGCGAGTTTAAAAAAGGTAGTATCTTGGTGGAATGTTAGTGCGAGATTATTATCCCATCAATATTAGTTAGTGTTGACAATGTATAGAAATGTTTTCTCTAGACAGCTTGACGAGTAATTAATTGATTATGATGTGTAAAACTTTCATGTGATTGGTTGTTTGTTGGAAGGCAAGGCCTTGGAGTCTCTTATACTGATTGTAATTGGTTAAGGGGTGAAAAGAAATAAAGATGGATTTAATGCTGT